AAATTACAGTCCTTTGGCCTTTCAGGTATTTGAGTTATCAACTTACCCGAAAAAATTTAGCTGGCCCGTTCGCGGTTACCACGCTTACCCGAACGCTGGGTTTGAGCTCATTAATACCTAATTGGACGTTGGACATTCTCTTAAGATTTCAGCTTTTTAGTTTCTCAGATTCCCGAGTTATGAACCTACCCGAAACAAATTTTGGCGGGTCCGTAAGTGAGCACCACGCGTATCCTCCTAAGCTTTCAGCATTCTAGCTTCTCAGATCCCCCAGTTATGAACTTATCCGAGAAAAACTTTGGCGAGCCCGTAATTGAGTACCACGCGTAGCCAAGCCTGAGTTTGAGCTCAATGAAACTTAGGTGAACGGGAAATATCTTCTTAAAATTTCAACCCCCAAACATTTCTGGTCCCCGAGTTAGCAGCTTACCCGTAAAAAGCTTTGCGGGCTTTTACGTGGTTACCACGCGGGTAAGACCGCCCATTTTGGGGACGGGGCCCGTGCGTGCGTATAGATTAAGTTCCCAAAGTTTCAGCCCTGTAGCTTTTATAGGTCTCGAGACGAAAAATCGGTACAGAGGTCCAGCGCGCAGACAGACACGCACACAAAGCCTCTCGTCAATATGCGTTTTCCGCATTGCATAGCGGCAAAAAAAAACGCATAAAAATTTAGAGGTAGTCTGGTGCAGAAATATGTTTTTGTACAGCTTCCCCTCAAATTTTTGTCACTGGCCGCGCTGTTGTTTTCCGGCAGGTGCTTCTCGCTAAAAGAGCTGAAACCGGTCACTACGACTGTCAGAAAATATTATAGTGATCCCTAGTAAACACGTACGTCGCTACATTCAAAAAATGCATCACTCAGATGCTTCGGTTCAGAGTCATATCAGATTTCACATACATGTATGTAAATGAATGTAAATGTTTCTTCCATGTGCATTTGCTCAAAGGCGGCCGTGGAACACGCTGAGCAAATTTTAGCACTCCAGCTGCTTTGGTTATGGAGTTATGTCAGACTTTATGTGTTCTGCGTGATAATTGCGTGGGCATGAGCATTCATTTTGAGGATAGTACCTGTAAATGGATGTAGATACGTTTCTGCATTGCATAGATGCAAAAAAAAAAAAGCATAAAAACGTCGCTTTGTATAAGGAGCACCATTTCAGTAGTGGAGCACAAAATTTCGAAAGAAATTTTCCGAACGAAATTGATCCTGTGGAAGCACTTTTACTGATAGGAGGTTCAGAAAACCGGTTTCGGGTCTAATGAAAACAAAAAATTTACTCATATTTGTTATGTTTCATGAAATAACGTCATGAACAAAAACAATTCATTCTAAAAATATTTGTTGCTCCATTACACATAAAATGGTGATTGTATGCGGGAAACTACTGCTCCTTGCCAATTTCATTGCTTTAGGAGCAACACAAAGTTTCTTTGGCCCTTCTCCTTTGCTAAACAGTTCTAACAGCGAAGTCACCATCGCTCCCGAACTAAATCCGGCAGGTATTGTTTCCGATCCGATGGTGCCTGAGCCGGTGAAGGCACCTCTAATTAATATGCCAACTCATCAGAAGCAGATGTTTAAAGTTCCGGAGGCGCAATCTCTCATTCTTGGTCGGCATCCTGCAGCCGGTGGAACGGATGTAGCTATAGGATTCTCGGCTGGTACATCGAATCCAGGAACAGGAGCTTGTATTTCATGTGCTGGAAAAGGATGACGTCGAAAAGAACGTGGGTTTTCCATGAATTGTTTCAAATTTTTTTAGTTTTGTAGTTCTTCCTTAAAGTAATTTATTTTGTTTATTGATTCAGAAACTTTCTTCCTTCGCCATTTTCTAAAAAAAAGGAACAATTATATCCAAAACAATACGGTAGACAGCACTTTCGCCCTTTAAGTCTGTGAATGGTGCTTTATTCCGCTTGTTACTAACAGTGCGTGACAG